ACCAAAGGAAAGACCATTTGTTGAGGCAGATTCCGAAAGATTTCCAGCCGTTGCTAGTACTGAAAAGAACAAGAAAGAATGCTCTTAATTTCACAAGACTAAATTTTCTTTTCTTAAATATTACATTGCTTCCGAAACATAGCTGGCACATTGACAGATGTAGTAACTTCAGAATTTATACTAACGGGTTGATCACGACGTGGTGATATCGTTCCATCTATGAGAGAAAATGCCAGAAGATCAACAAAGAAGTCGAAAATTTGCTCTACCGGTAAGTGGTTTTCCTATCAGCCGTTGAACTATATGTCGTATAGTTTCAGGTAGGTCATTAGGATTGAGAATTGATTCAACTAAATTTGATGGAATTAAACCATACCGACCCTCCAGATTTCTTCCATCATAAAATCCATCCTAAAAACGATGATAGCATTGTATGTGATTCCTATCATCAATTATCGATTTACTTCATCGACATCTCCATAAGTCAGATAGTATTCTCCGATACGTAATGGTAGTTCTACTTCCGGATGATCATTAGGCGAGTATTGCAATGGTTCATAAGAATATTTCGCAACGACGACTTGAGCTGTTTGAGTATTCTGACACATATTCGATTTGATGTCTTGATTTTCTACTGGATTTTTCGATTGACTGCCGATCGATTTGACCAACGGTCGTTGTTGAACTGTTGTAGCTAATGAAGCTGGTGGCATAGCTGAGTTCATCATGGTATCTGATGGCGATGTTTGAGAGTCAACCATAATTGGCAAAGGCCATGGATGAGGAGATGGTATTGGTGAGGAGTGATTATTTGAAAGCATAGCCACGGATGACGATGGCAACATTCGATCGCGTCTTGCTTTCAGAGATTCAAATTCGAGAAGAATCTCTTCATGTTTCAACGATTGTAATTCTGTTTTTCGTTCGAGATCATGAATTTTTTCCTGAAAAAAGACTCAATTAATAGAGGATTGATATGAAGATGATAGATTGAATTACTTCAAGTAGATGAATCGTGTCTTGATGTTCTCGTTTGGTTGCATCGTGCATCTAGAAGAATTTTCAAGAGACGTAGGGAACAATTGCGAGGAAAACTTCAACTAACTCTTTGAAATTGTTCAAAATCATCTTGTTTTCGTTTCAATTCTATTTTATTTACTTCATTTTCAACGTTCAATTGCTTTTGTAAATCATTGCTATCACGTAATGATTTGATTATTGCTTCTAGTTCACGAATTTTCTGGTTAAGCTGCTCGTTTTCACGTCGTTTCATATCACATTCAGACATTTTGGAATCCGAAGTCGTCCGAAATCGCTCACATTCTTGCGTCAACTATTGAATGAAAAGAGAAAAAAAGGCATACATAGAGATGCGGATTGATATTGAGCACATTGCATTATTTATTCAAATATTGATTATTTTTCTTTCCTCACGAATTTTTCTGCATTTTATTAATGCATAGAGTCATCACTAACCCGTTCATTAGTATTTGTTGCATTGCTAATTTCGGTGCGCATTTGCGTGTTTAGCATAGAGGCACTTTCGAGTTCTTTGATCTAGAGCGTAAAGAAAAAATGTATCTTGAGAATAGAAACAAGAGCAGGGAGGGAGGAGTAAAGAGAGAGAGAGGGAGACAAAGCACAACGAGGAAGAAAAAGATGAATGCTATGGTGCAAGTACTTACAAGCCGAGCATTTTCTTTGTTCAGATTTGCTAGTGCCATTGCATGATCGTCGGATTTTTTCTGCTGTTGGCGTTCGAAGAAAGCAAAAAAGAAAAAGAAAATAGAATGAAATAGAGAACAACAAAAAAAATACGAGGAGAAAAGAGGATAGTTTTCTGCATCATACAATTGTGAACAGGTCGGTTTCTTTCTCTTCGCTAACAACGAATGAGGCGGGCAACCAACCAACCAAACAAGCTAGTTCTCTCGATTCCGGAAACATGATCTTTATTTCTTTCTCTTGTGCGTCTCACCCTTATTTTCCACCCCTTTAGCACTTTTTGCTTTGGAATATTATATGTATTTAGAATGTGGATAGGACTTACGCTGAGTTGAATTTCCGTTTGTAATCGTTCGACTGTTGCCTGAAGATCTTGACAACGATCTTCAACTGCCTGCATGGTTAAAAGGTCATTTTCTAATTGTGTCTTGCGCAGATCAATTGCTTGAAATGTTTCTCGATCTTCGTTATATCGTTGTTTCAACATCTGCAAATCTCGATTTTCAGTCTGAAGATATTTAATTTCATCGAGTCGTTTCCTCAAGATTGTTTCATGGGACTCTTTCATTTGATTACGTTCTTCGCGTAGCAAATCATTCGCTGCACGTAATTGTTCATTATCAAGACGAAGTTTGATGTTCTCATCATTGAGATGTTTGATATCATTTTCATAACTGTTCTGATTATCCTGGTATTTGTCTTTCAAATCGTTGTAGTTTTGTTTTAATTCATTGAATTGATTGAATAAATCATCGTATTGACGACGTTGGTCAGCTTGCTCTGCTGATCGCGTTCGATCGCGTGTTTCGATCTGTGTTAAACGTGCTAATTCGCCAAGTAAATGTTCGTTTTGGCTTTTCAATTGCTCGTTTTCACGTGAACAATATTCGAACGTTGATTTTTCATTCTTATATGCATTTTGTATTTCCACGAAGCGTTCTTCGATCTCTGTTAGATGTGTATACTCATTTTGAAGATGTCTATATGCTTCTTCAAGTTCAGCATATTGTTGAAGCTATTAGAAACAAAGAAAGAATAGAAGAATAGATACGATTCTGTTCTTGCTGATTGAACGTCTTCCAACAGAGAAAACGGCTTTAGAAGATTAAAACAAAAAAACGAGAAAAAGCGGCTTAAATGAAGTTGACAGTTTTATTCCTGAGGACCTATGATGAGTGACTGGTTATTTCGATGACGATGACGAAGAAAAACAAAATCATGAAAATGAGTATCTTCTAACCTGTAATTTCAGTTTGGTGACATGTTCGTCTTCAGCGCGTGCCAAACGATGTACTTCACTTTTTAGCGCTTCATTCGTGTCTTGTAATGCTTGATAATGAAAGGGATCGATAGAAGCTGCTGCTGAAGAATTAGTTCTCGAGCGGCCACTTGCTGTTGTTGCTGTTGTCGGATATTGTTGCTGTTGTTCCGTGACATTCGTCGTTGTATTCGCTGCTGATGATGGCTAAACAGAAACGGAACATGTGAATAACGAGACACTTTCGATGACGATTCGCAATGAAATGTCCGTTTGGCAAACCTGTGACAATGTTTGTTGTAAATTCTGTTTTGATGACTTCACATCGCGAATAAAACCGGTAAAACGCGGCGATGATGAGCTGGTCATAATTGTTTTCGATAGTTTTTCTTTATTTTATGTTTAAGAGAATCAATCTCTACTTTCTCTATTCTCTAACTAATGCTTTATTCTTGTGGTTCAGCTAAGTTTGATACTACCACATCTACATACATACATACACGCACACGCGAGCGTAAATAACTAATATGATTATCTCTGAGAAAGAGAGGAGTCTTCTGCAACCGGTAGTGGTGTGGTAAAAAAATATTCCCGTTTTTTTTTCTCGTTCTCTCTCACACTCTCTTTTGCAACGACAAGAGGAAAAAACTGATGAAGAAAAAGCAAAAAAAAAGTGGGAAACAGAACAGAAACTTAACGAGAGAAATAGTCACAAGAAGCAAAAAGAGGAATGTTCATCGACCGAACGAGGCCTCGCTCTAGCGCGCGTGCCGATGAAGATGTCTTTCTATTTGCACTTTTTTCCTTCTTCTCTCTTTCTCACATGTCTTTCTCACAATACATGGAAGATTAGAATGACTGATGAAAAGCAAGAGAATAGAGAAAAACGAGAATGAAAGAGAGAGAGAGAAACTATCGAAGTGATTCGATAAATAAGAAAGTTTTCTTTTCAATATGCACATGAAAAAAATCTTGTGTTCTCTCCTTCCAGTTTCTTTCATCAAGGAAATGGATCGAACAACAATAAGAAGACGTCTGTCTACCTAAGAGACAGTCAATAATGTGGAAAGAAAGGCAGTTTCCGTCATCTTTCAATGGGATGCTCGAAGACTTACGCCTATATTTGCTGTCGAGTTCAATGCTGATGTTGTTCTTGAAGCCAAAAGACGTCGTTCAAGATGAAGTTTTTCAATATTTATCTGTCGTAATGCTATACCAAGATGATTTGCCTAGGAAAAGAAAAAAACACAAATATTCATAGGAATTACGCGACGATGTTTGTTTGGTTATCCATTACTGTCGATAATTCTTGCAGTTGAATACTTAATTGTTTGATTTCATCATTTTTTTTCTTCAATAACTTCTGATATTCGATAGCATCTTTACTGGCTTGCTTTGCTAATGCTCGTTTGATTAATTCTTTATCGTGATCTTTCTAAAAAAGATGGTAATCATTATGATTTCAAATCTTTGCATCCGCTTTCTCAATCAGTTACTGGTTGCTCCTGTTTAAGGACTTCCAATGTTCGTTCGAATCGTTTGACACGATCGTGTAATTCAACGAGATCCTGTTGTGAAGACTGTTTTTGTTCATCATGAAGATGTTGGTTCTAAGTTCGATAGAGAACAAAGGAGAATATTAAATTAACTTGAAAAAATGGTATAAGAAAAAAAAAAAGAACACGAGAAGAATGAAAAATCCCTGTAGATCATAAGTTGCCGCTCGTCCCTAAAGTCATCAACAATCGTCACTTGAGAAAAATTCATTTTCATCGAGTGAAAAATCGATCGCACCACATGAATTAATCCCTTGCACGATTTTTACTAAACGACGTTTCGTTCGTTTATATATTTCGAGTAAAAATGGCAAAACCCTGATAAGAATTCTAGGAAAGTAAAACAATGCTTATTTAAAATAATACACGCTAGTTTAAATAGAAATGAAGAGTACAAAAACAACATAGAAATTTCACATCGTTATCGAGATGAAAAAAAAATTCCACAATAAAATGACTGCCTAGTCGCTAGATGCTTGTTTTAGATAAGCAATTAGATCCTTTCGTTCCTCATCCTTTTTCAAACCAGCGAAAATCATTTTTGTCCCTGGAATGTATTTCTTGGGATCTTTTAGATAGATCCAAAGAGTATCACCACCCCAAGTGATATTCTTGTTTTTGTTAGCATCACTGTAATTAAAGCCAGGAACTGAACCAGTGTGTCGACCAAACAAACCGTGTAGATTTGGTCCTTGTTTATTACCGCCATCTTTTTCAGCAGTATGACATTGAGAACATTTCGTTTTGAATAGTTTTGCACCCTTTTCAGGATCACCACCTTCCCATTCACCACCACCACCACCAGACGCTTCTTTCTTATCTCCACCTTTGTCACCACCGCCCGATTTGGCATCGCCTCCCTTATCGCCGCCTTTGGCACTACCTTTATCAGCTCCACCCGAAGCTCCTCCTTTGTCACCACTATTCTTGGCACCACCTTTGTCTCCACCTTTATCAGCACCACTTGACGCTGCTCCACCTTTATTTCCGCCTTTATCTCCACCGCCTGCTTTGGGAGCACCTCCAGCATCGTTTTTATTTGCTTTATTTTCTTTGTCAGCTGGTTTTGATCCACCACCATCACCACCGCTCGATTTTCCACCGCCTTGTTTAGCTTCGTCTCCAGCCATTACCTTAACGTTGAGTTTACCAAGTTAAGTTATAATTTATGTTTTGAGGACGTATGCGTTGTACGCGAATACTTTATGTTTGTCGAGATACGAATGGACGAAAAAAAGAAAAAAAAATAAGGGCGAGGCAAGGATTGTAGTAAAGCGAAAAAAACAAACGTTGACGAATCGATCAAGGGCATTAACTCAAATGAGTCATACGGGATATAGTATATGAGAGAGGACGTGCTAAGGCAACTTATACATATCATGGCGGATCATGCGCGTATGTACACGTGATAGAATGAAACTCGTCTTCTGTAACTTACCGTAGAAATAACCAAATCAGGATCACTACTTCGTAATATTTGTACTGGTGCAATTTTCTTACTGGCAGTTTCATTATTATCATGAACAGTCTCTGGCACTGACCACGTTTTTAATTGTTCGATGTCATATGATTGTTCAGCGATACGTTGATCACGTAAAAGTAACTGCCGTTGTAAATAGGAGACAAGATCTTTCTGATCTTCTTTACAAAACACATTGAGTTCATGTTCGTATTGAAGACGAAGTTTAGTAATCTTCGCTGATTTATCGAGATCAGATTTAGATTTCGCCTGCAACGAGATAACGTAAATAAAACAATTTTAAAGAATAATATTAATTTCACAAGGTAAAATTCTATTTATTTTGAGTACATGTACACCTGCCGAAGGCAAAGAAAAACATAGAAAATCACTTTCCTCTCATTTAGGCAATAAAAACAGATGAATCATTTTGGTTGGGCACATCTAATGACATATAGACACAAGACAAAATACGTACTTAACAATCAAATAATATGTCGCTTTTCTCGTAGAGTGAAGAAACTATTTTAGTTAATACTTTCATGTGCAAACTTACTTTATATAAAGTTTCCAACTGTGTCTTCGCTTGCTTCAACGCGACTAATTCACGTTTGAGTTTGTCAATTGTGTTAACTAGAGCTTCACTTGAATCCTCTGGTTCGACGGAATCCGTTTGATCATGAACATTCTGAGCCAATGTGTTGATTGTTGTTTGACGAGAAGAACCATGTGATATGGATGAAACAGTTTCCAACTCGGATCCTGATGATGCGGCCGAAGATGATGAATGTGTTGATGGTGTGCAACCAGTAACGGTCTGAGTCGGGGTTAGATGATTGAGAAGCGTTGTGGTCAACGAGCTTGTTTTCATCATCTCAATGATTGATTCGCAATAATTCAATCATTTTCATACGCAGATATGTTGCACATTGACTATACAACGAACAAGAAGAAAGACAAAATGGGAGAGAACACGGTCTGTCAGAAAATTCATTCATATACATGTACTTCGTGGTTGAATGAAAAAAAAAAGGCAAGGAAGAACGAAATCGATGGAGGCGAGAAGCGAAGCAATCGATCAGGTCCGATGTTAAAAAGAGAAGCGTAACTGAAAGAAACAGAGAAAATGAGAGATTCACCTTTGAAACATGTTCCGAAAGGAAGACGGCATGATCATGAATAGCTACTATTTTCAATTCACGGAGGTTTATTATAAAAGAAGAGGAAAAACAAGACTATCCTGGTCTATAATATACACTAGTTACGTGAAAGAACAAAAGGAAACGGCGGGTGGTATATTTTGTGTGTATGGATTCATACAATTTATTAAAGAAAATGAAACCTGATTTGACTAATGACTTGCCAACGAAATATAATAAAGCAAACGATTATAAAACAAATATTAAAACAACACTTGAATAAAGTTTATTGGTATGACAATAGAAGGTCGTTACCTTGAATCGTCTCTTCTATGAGAAAATCAAGCGGAGGACATAAAATATGTATGTGAATAGATGCGATCAGTGAAATTGATATCAAATCGAATTTTTTCCTATTTGCCTCATATGTCTATAACGAACTGTAAGTGCCGTTATTTTTCAATCAGAGAATATTGATGTTCATTTCTGTAAACCTGAAGTACGACGGTGTATGTACAGCGAAATCGAATTTCAAGTGTCATTAGATGCAAGAACAAGCGCTGAACTTGTACGTATGACATACTTGAAATGAAGTGTCTCAGGAAAGGAAGACTGGAATTTTGAGTAAGAAAAAGGCGAACTCACTGATCGGCATTTTCATGCTTCGAAGGGAAGAATGTCAAATTGTAGACGGAATGTTCACTCGAGTAGAAAATATCCCAGACATGATCTCGTTTTAAAGTGATTCAATTTTCTTTTCCATTTGATAAAGAAAAACGGCGCTACTACGCCAACTAATTAAATTGAACTGTCAGATCGAATAAACATTTCGAAAGAAATTGAATACATTACCTACCGTCTCTGTTCTCCCTTTATAAACTCGTTTCATAATGAAAATATGACGGATGGGGTCATTAGTCGTTCAATTTCGACTGATAGTAACGCAATCCTGTCAAATTCATCAAGTTTAATCACACGAACAACAATACGCGAAGCGAATAACCACCTACAAATGTTGTACATACGTAATCAAGAACTCGAACAATTGATACATGAACAAAAAGAAGAAATTCAACAAAGAAATTTCGAATACAGTAAACTATATCGAGCTAATCAGCTCTTAGAACAACATTGCCAACAATTACAAGCCTTACTTGATGATCGAACTCAACGTTTGTATTCGTACGAACGAAAAGAAGTTCTCTTTCAACAAATAATCGAATTCAAACCAACTCTCGAGTCGTTAGTAAGAATGTTAAATACATTCGAGCAATCGTCGTCATTATTGCTCGGTTCAATCAATAATAAACCATTAGAATTTGTCCAAGCAGCGAACAGAAAAATTCCTCCCGAGATCTATTTGTCAGATTTGTAGGTCATTTCCTCAGTAGATTTTTGTCAAGTGTTAATATTGTGCATGCTAATGAAGAAGTACATGTGGTCTGATTTATTTTTTCTTAATTATATCAAAATACATACAACTCAATTGCAAGGTTTCATCATAAATTCTCCTTATATTTGCTTTTAAACTTTAATTTCTTTCATTCGTTCTCGTTTTTTTCTTTTCCGTACGAAGTGATATTCGTATTATCTTCAGTTCTTTCTTTCTTTTTTTTTTATCAATAATATCATTCTGACTGTATATATAACAAAAAAGGACCGCCGAACAAGAAGAAGTACATAATGGAGGAAAGAGAAAAAGAAAACTGAAGGCCGAACATGAGTATGCGAGGTTCTAGAGAATTATACTTGAAAAAAAAACGAAGAACGAAAGAGATACGTTGTTTATCCATTTGCTGATCATTGAAAAGTGGAGCTCAGTCAATAAGAATAATAAATACACGAAACACTGTTCACACATTTCGTTGCTCGACAAAATTCAAACAAAAAAAAAAGAAACGATTGTATATACAAACAAGAAGAGAGTGAGAAAGAGAAGAAAAAAGAGAAAGATTGAATCAACGCATCAGAAAATTTTCAAGACTTTTGTTTTGATTTAACTTGGCGTGCGCATATGTGTGTGTGTGTATGAGATAGATAGACACAAATCGATATCACATATACTCTTCGAGTTCCAAGAACAAACGAGTTGAGATCGAATACTGAAGGTGATGGCAACATTATTTATAAGATAAAAAAAAACGAGAAACAAACAACAAGAAAGACTTTTATATATAAATTGGATTTTCCTGTCCAGTTAAGAGACGATACATTTGGGTCGGCATGGTTTTCATTCGAAGCTAGAAAAGTGAAACGAATATAAGAGTGTGCAGATGGCAAATCACTTACTTCACCGATGGAATTTGAAAGCATACTAACGATTCTTTCATGCGGGGTTGCGACAACGCTATTTCCGTTTATTTCAATAATTCGATGGCCAACACGGACACCACCACGTTCGGCGATACCGCCGCGAAGTAAACTACAAATCTAGGAAAGATACAAACACGCTTTACTCTACTTGATGCCGATTATTAAGGACTTACGATGCCATTCTGTACACTAAAGCCGAGCTAGATTGAAAAGAAAAGAAGTTTTTCAACTGAGGTTCTTTGTCTGATAAAAATTCTTACCTGATATTTTGTATCTGGTCGCCGGATGAGTACTTCAACAACTGGTGGACAAGGAACAACGACTAATCGTACAGTTGTTAAATGTTTGACACTCTAAATAGAATTTTTCATCAATAGACCTATTTTGATAGCGAACTGAAATACTTTAATCTGTGCTTGACAAGAAGACAAAGGTAATCCAACTAAACTAATTCCATTAACCGATATGATCTGATCCCCGATATTCAAATGTCCACCTCTAATCAAAACAAAAACAGAACACACGTAGAAAACGCGTTTTCTTTCGACAGGATAAACCTACCTTGCCGCTGGTCCAGTTGGCATCATATTAGCGATAACAACGGTTGGTAACATCGAACCCCAACCACTTTCAACAATCACTATACCGAGTGGTTCATTTTTTGCTTTAGGAACGATCACCTATAAGATGACGAAGAATTTCATCGAAGATCACGCCATGAGGAAGAATTGATTTACTTCTTTTTGACACTCTTTTTTCGAAAATCGATCTAGTTCTTCACTACCAATTTCTTGTTGATTTAATACTTCTTGATAATCAATATCACGTGTAAGACTTGGATCATCGATACCATTCGCTTTTAAAAATTCAACATATGCGACTTGAAATGCTTGACCGATCGAATGAGCAATTGGTTGAGCCTTTTCAAAATGAAGACATTGATGTCAATTTCACCGATCGATTCTCTTTTCAACAATAAACTCACTTCTTCGGATTCAAACACATGACAAATCATCTTTTGATTGACGGAGACAACACGACGGGTGGCTGATTCATTTGAATCATCATTTCCATTAATATTATCATCTGTATGTTGAAGATAACGGCGTTTAGCCATTAGCACAACAAGATCACCGATATCAGCTAAAATAAACAACAATTCAATGCACGAATCTCCATATCTTTTCCGTACATACCAATATAAGATATTGATCTCAACGAATGATCCATCAGAATATCTTGTAAATCAGTATTTAGGACCATAATTTTCTCGGTAGAAATAAATAGATCGACTTCAACCGATGGTTGACTTTCGCCTTGCGGTGCTTTGATTCGGCCAACAGCTTCTTGAGCTTGCATCATCCTTGACGCTTTTGTTGGATTTCCTTCGACGAGGAGTTGCGTTGAACCGAGATAACGACAACGGAATAGAACGCCTTCGATTAATACTGATGAGTTTTCTGGATGAGCAATTGATTGAGTGAGAGCTAAAACAAAAAAATGATATTTATCTTCTCATTGACATTGACTTTTCCCAAGTATGAAATGCATCTCAAACAATAGGGAAATCTTTTTGAGTATTCACAAAAGCAAAAGAGAAAAACAAAAGACGAAAGGAAGTAATTCGTATTGAATACAAGGAAAACATACTTTCTTGTGATTTCGATTTGCTCGCTGGTTTGGACACAGCCTATTTATCAAAGAAATAGATATCGAATAGATTTAGATGTATGACACGTACAGCATCACGAATGGCTTGGTTTTTCGCATTGATACGATGTTCAACGCCAAGCAGTTTATCAGTTTCTTCATCTGTATCGTAATCTAAACGAAAGATACGAGATTTTTTTCGATAGTTTTTCGAATGAAAAGAAATCATAAAATCAAATCATGCTTGTTTTCTACCCACAAAATCACAGTTAAAATAAAGGGGGAGAGGAAAAAAAGAACATGCTGCACAAACCCTTTTTTCGCACTGGTTTTGGATTAGTATTTCCCTCATCTAAAGTGTCTGTTGGTTAGTGGTGTTAACCTTGATTTGAAAATGAAGAAAAAGAAGCTATTTTTACCTGCTGGAGCTGTAGATGTTTCTTCCGGTGGATTTTTCGTCCGATTCGAATCGGATGTTGGAGTATTGCCTGGTGGTGTCGAATGATTTGCTACTACTGGTCGAACGAACGATGACGGAGGAGGTGGACGAATATAAAACGAATTCGACTGAGGTTCGACACCATTCGTATTGATAGATTTAGCAAACTGGCGTTTGTGCGATGACGTGACCAAGGACGAATGATTTTTATCAAATAGAAAATCACTTTGTGTCGCTTGGTGACGGCCATTTGTTTTGGGTTTCACAGGCGATGACTGTTGTTGTTCGTCGCCGCTGAGATTTTCCGAATCGGACAGACCATCTTCAAGTATG